CATAACTTTCACATATTTTTAAAAGTTTTCTAATGCCACAAACTGAAGCGCTCAGCAATACCATATCATCTGCATAGCTAAAATTATTAACACAAATACCATCTATGTGACAACCGACACGTTGGCTGCTGAGCTCCTGAATCAAGGCATTTATATACAAATTAAACAGCCGAGGCGAGGTCAAACCTCCCTGCCTCACGCCACATTCTAATTTATATGGATCTGAGAGTGTGCCTGCCCACCTCACACTATTAGTTTGATTACTATACCAATACTTCAAAATGTTTACAAGTTGAGAAGATACACCTACTTCTTGTAATTTTTTCCACAGAATATCATAGGAGACCAGATCAAAAGCTTTGCTTAAATCAAGGAAGCAGGCATACACTGGTGTACCCCTTTGTGTATAGTACCTGACAGCGTGTTTGAGGCACAATATGGCGCTCTCCGTCGACAATTCTGGTTTAAAACCAAATTGATTATCGTGGAGTGCTATAGATTTGGCCAATTGCGCGTCCAACACGCTGTCAAGCACCTTAGCCATCACAGTCGCCAAGGATATCGGCCTATAATTATTCTTGTCAGCGTTGTCTCCAGTTTTATTTTTGATTATGGGCACCACAATGGTGTTCATTAACTGTTCAGGCAGGTGAGAGTGGCTTAGGCACAACGTGTAAAACATAGCTAGCACACGAGCAATGTGAGGCCCCGCATATTGCAGATGCTCAATACTAAGCCCATCATGGCCAGGAGATTTTCCTCTTCTCAATAGGCGAATAGCTATGGCCACACTTTTTGCCGAAATCTTAAGGTTCGATTCTGCACCTTGGGACCCAGTACTGAGCATCGACATTGACGGACCAAGTGGCGACCTAACAAAGAAATGCTCCCTAAAAACATTTGCTATATTTCGAGGGTCAGAGTGACCTGCAACACTAATGGGGAGGCCAGGCCTACTATTCAGTTTCTTAGTATCTTTCCAAAAACTGGAAAAATTCTTATTTGTACATGATGTTGCTAATCTGTCCATCTTAATTAGTGTCTTGTATCTAGTTGCAGAATTTGCCATCGTTTCAGTCTTGTGACATCCCTGCTATCATCAACCAGATCCTTAGCGAGCTGGTTTGTATGGTTCAGGAGTCTTCCTTTGTATTTAGTTGCATAATAATTAACTTCCTCCTTAATCGTTGGCATATTCAGGTATTCATGCAGTTCCACATTTTTCGTAAACCATGGTGCATTTGTTATTGATCGGAACACATTATTCTGGAATCTTTGTAGGATTTCTAGATTTGAGTTGCTGGCAGAGCTGGATTCCATATGACCATATGGGCTTTATAATACATTTATAAACTAATAGTTTGTTCGTTATTCCCAGTGGTGACCGTCGACCGATTAACCAGTACAATCATTTGAAGTTAAAATCTGCTTCTTTCCTTTTAGCCTTTATGTGACCAGCCCACGTTAGTCTTCGGTCTAAATGAAGCCCAAGGTATCTAACACATTTTTCTTGGGGTAGTTGCTCACCTCTGAGAGTTACGGTTGGGCATTCTCCTCTTCGTAGAGTGAATGTAATTTGTACTGACTTAGTCACACTTGGCCTAATTCTCCACTTTTCCAGCCATTCCTCCATTTTATATAAATGCGTTTGAAGTATTTCTGCTGCTGAAAGAGGATCATTATGACTTGTTAGACAAGCGGTATCGTCTCGTTGGAATCCTCTACATAAAAGTTTATATCATAATCTCGAATATTAGTATGCCGCAGTTTCAGGCTTCTCAGAGAACACTACTGTTCAACCTCTGTCAAATGTGCAGACCGATTTCCGTCTGCACATTTGGATGCCCGTGTGAAAATAAGGCATTGGGACTCCGCCATCACTGATACAAATACAATAAACTACATAATGTTATAATAAATTAGTTATTTAAATATTTTTTTGAACAAGCTACTTATCTTTTACTATATAAAAATAAGTCGAGTTTTCCTTCCTGACGCTATAACTCCAGAACGTACGAAAGGTCTCGCGCTCCGTGAGGTTTATAGCATGAAGATAATTCGGGAAAAAATTTTTTCTTCATCATCACCATTCATTGTCATTAATCACCAAACGAAATGTTACGTAAAACGAAGCCGGCGAAACGGAGTTCGACGGGTTTGCTAGTTTATTTTATAAATAAATAGTTAAGAAAATACTAGTTTATAAGTAAGAAAATAAATAAAATAGTAGTACTATCAATTAAGTACATAACGTCATATTTAATTTGACTTAACAGTGATTTTATAACACGTTATCAGACTCGTGATCGAGTTTTTATCTATGAAATTAAAAAAACATTTCATTCTTATTATTTGGTTTTCTTAGCTCTTAACTAGGACTTATAACATTAAGTAGGACTTAATTGAAGAATCGTCATTGTTATACAATTGTAATACATATGTATACATACACATACAGTACATCACACAACTACATACAAACTACCTATAGAGGTACTTAAATCAAATCAAATCAAATCAAATCATTTATTCATTTGCGAACATGGGTACAAACTTTATAATTGTAACAAGATGATGATTCTCGACCTAGATATAGAACTTGGGAACTCACATATTAATTTATCACGAACAAACGTGGCACCACAGTTCACTAATCATTTTATAATCACCGTCCCTATTAGGTAACTGAGGCCTTAGTACGAGTTTCGTTAATCGTAACGAGTACGCGTTCGGCGCTCTGATTGGTTGGTTTATTGGAGCCGGCCAATCAGAGTGCCGAACGCGTACTCGTTTCGAATACTTTAAACGTAAAACAAACTCGTACTAAGGCCTCTGATACCTATCTGAGCCATTATCGATTCCTTACGATTCAACTCACCCTAAAATAAATTAAGGCAATTAGTGGATTTATTTGATTGCCTTCCGTATAATGTGGTATCTACCTTAATATCTACGTAAAGTAGGCGTATTATACATGTATACTGAAACACACTTGCCTTTGTCAACTATTCCTATGTGTTTTTTAAACATAACACAGAATATATTTTCAATAACCTTTCATATTTCATAGAATGATTTAATACCAATAAAAATTGTAATAATTGTAGGTGATTAATAAATTAATAAACATTTTTCTTTTGTTACAAAATATGATACACAAAAATATGTCTAACCGACTCCCTATTAGGATCTAATGAAATAGGTATATTAAATTATACGGAAGAGAAAATTTGATTGCTATTAAAATATGATCAACGTAAAATCTTTTAGAAAATTCATTCATTCATCCATTCTTCTTACACTAAGAAATGCAAAGCAGTCGCTCTCCCTAATTTCCGAAGCCACAGATGTCTTCGATACGAAATCGCTAACATAAATATTTTTAAAGTGTTAAAACACTGTTTATTCTATCCAATTGAATGTTTACCCAAGTGTACACAAGTAAGACATTTAAAAAACACCTAATATATATAAACCCAGGCTTATATAGCTCAATATGAGTAGATTTTCATGTTAAGAATAATAAAGGTATAATTTGATAACAAACGGAAACATAAAAATTAGATATTGCGATTAAACATTGAAAATGTCGTACAAAAAAGGTTAAGTTATTAAGTTATTCTTAGTGAAACTAAATGAATCATAAGGACAACACAGGGCAAATGTCCTTTCGTCCTTTGTCCATTGTATTACGTTGTTTTTGGAGTGATTTTCTGTAGTACCTACGTATATTACTCATCTTGTCATTTTGTTAAGACAAAAGGAAATAGTACGTTGTTATACAGAGCCATCTGTTGTCGAGTAGCATTAGCTTTATTATTGTGATAGCGCCATCTATCTTCAGTTTAAAGTACTTATGTCATCGTTATTGACTACTAGATGGCGCTAATACTTGAATCCTTATATTTTGTAACGACCTAACTTTAGTAATACTTTTTATTTTAGATTTAATTTTGCAACGTCATTTCGAGTGCAATATTATCTTTATTTTCGTTTATTCTACATTTTTGAATCACTAAGTACCTATGTAACTGCATATTATAAAGGTAGGACTAAAATAAAATAGGAACCTAATTAGACTATCTACCTATTGTTATCACCGAAATAATCACTAAGATTCCTGTTAAAATATACTGAGTCGTCAATTCATCACGGCACACGTCACAATGAGTAACATCACGTCTTTCTTATTTATTGAATTAAGAATAAACAAAAATGACAAAATTTATTTTCCTAGCAAATGTTGACTGTCTCGATAATACCTAAGTACATCGATAAGATAGCTGTTCCGTCCTAATTTCCACACCTAATTGCATTATTACAAATCGATCACGTTAATCTGTTGATGTGAGCTAATAATACCTAGGTATCTTGCCGGATTTAGGTGCTATCCTCTTTGAAATGAAATGTACCTAGATAGGTAACCTGCATCTCAATGTTTTTTGGTAAAAATATTAAGAACTCAATGCAGTTTTGTGAGTTGGTACCTAGATGCTTACCTTACTTATAGTTTGTCTAGCAACAACCTCAAAATGAACTGCAGCCCATGCACTTATCATTAGTCTCATAACACCATAACGATACACAGGCACCTATAAAAATATTATCAGTTTATTAGATGACGCTTAATCATTCAATCGCCTATCATAACAAACACGAGACAGGACAAAGAATGCTGAACTAAAACAATCCATTGTTCAGATTTCAGTCGACATTACCACTATCAGTCGCTACTATCAACTCACCGCGCATGACATCATTCTCGTCCCTCAATTCAGTCATTAGAATATAGTAATTTGTAAATTTGTCTGCAAAAAATACAGCACCAGTTTAGCAAGACATTGAAATAAAAAAAAATACAAACAATGAGAGGTCATGCTAATTTGGACGGGCATACGTTCCGTAAAGCCTAATCCCTTGAACTTGAGCAGGCGGAACCGAGGAGGTAAACAAACGTCGCGCGTCGGGCAACCCGTTGACGCGCATTTGTCATTTGGAACGCACGCGACTCGCTAGCGCCAGTGTCGTACGCGCGAGCTCCGCGTAAAATGAACGCGTCGTAAAATTCGCAACTTAAAAAAAAAGTGTCAACAAAAGAACGTTTCTGTTTCGAAATTCGAACCGTTTGTACTGTTTTCGGCCAGTGCAGTAATAAATTATTTACAGTGTGTGTTTTGGTAAATTTTGTGATTGTGTTTTTTTGTTGTCAATTTGAAACATTGTTGTGGTTCATGAAGGAAATGACGGCAGAATGACCGATAAGCGGCTGATACAGCGAGTTTGCAAGCTGGTTCAATAAGCAATTTAGAGATTTCGTTGGTAACTTTGCTTTTATTTATTTTTTTATTATTTAATAGAGCTAAGAGAAAAGTCCCTACCTATCAAAATATCGTTAACATTTTAAATTTAGAAGAGACCTTTACCATAGGATCCTTCTATTTCTTAACTTCGTTCGCTCATGAATACAAAACAAAACTTTTTATACCTAACCTGCAAAATATTGTTTTATTTTTTAGTTTCCGTGAATTATCTATAAGTATGTAGATAGATAATAATGTAATACCGTTATTGTTATCGTTCCTAGGCAACCAATTGTTTTGAGGTAACGTGGAGCTAAGCGTTCTCAGTCTCACGTACTATCGTTAGCTGTCGTAAATCTAATTAGGTATTTATCTGCATTGTTAGTTTATGTACTGTTACGTACTTGTTGTACCTAGGTATTGAGTAGAAAGAAGCAGTAGTTGATTATGCACGGAAGACCTGTGCATTAGTTCGGTTCAATGCATGAATAGTTAGGCATAGCCATACCATTACCTAGGTACCTAAGATCTACCTACTAACTAGGCATCTACAATTTTTTTATTATCTAACTACTTAGTATTGAACCGATAGGTAGGTAAGTAGATAGGTACCTTTTTTATGACTAGGGGATACCTTCAAAAAACAGCTTTTTGAGGATGAATGACTAGGGAGTGGGATTTTTACCTCACCTTTCACGAATTTTTGATTTTATTGGCCAAATCCTCAACCAATCACTCGTATTTGTGTAAACTACGTAGGTAATACTTACCTACATAGGTACAGCTTATAAAATAGATCGATATCTCCTATTAATGCTACACACTGAATCATCATCGTGCAAATAAATCGATTACAGATTACATGCAAGCAAGATACCGTTATGTGAAGTCTTAGTAAATTCCGATAATGTGTAGATGTGGCTATTTATAGATGTACTTAATCGTATTTTAATCGACGACATGGTTGTACCTACCTAGGTGTTCTAGGTATAAAAGGTGAAGGACCTCACCAGTAAGGTACCTATTTAACACGTTAACTGCCGCGTAGGTCACCGGTGTCCTACGTTAGCGGAGGATTTGTCTTCAGCAGTTTTCTGTCGGCAGTCAAAGTCTTAAATTTGTTTATCACCTCGTAGGCTAGTATACCTACTAGCAGGTAGCCTTAGGTAGGTCTATTATAGAGGATTCGGTGCCCCATAGGTGATGATGGTGGTCACTAGGGTGGTTGGTGAAGTAGGAATCCCACAATCCCTAGTTTTTTCTCCCAATAAAAACTAGGCAGTTTTTGAAGGCGCCTCGTGGGGGATTCGGGGATTAGGGAGACAGGGGAGGTCCCTCCCCTGTCTCCCCTTAATTAGGCCTCTGGTAACCTCACCCACACAACAAAAGACACTCCAGCCGAGCTGACCCATTCGGGCCAAAGCATGGCTCTCCCAAACTTTGTTCCCATTTTTTTTTAAATCATGAATTTTACATAGGGTATTTTATTTTAGCGTCATTTTGCCAGTTCACGTGTAATTAGTGCTCAGTACACAGTCTTAGTCAGTACCTATATCTACATAAGTAGGTACCTACTTACTAAACTAAGAATGCAGTTGAATGAGTTACGATCGATTTTAATTTGCCAGTCAACCGCGGACGTTATAGCTACAGCCAACTGCTAAGTAGATATTTAAATAAAACCTAGGTTATTGCGTCATGACATAAACAAACAAGGTGTTTCTAACATTGAGACTAAACAAAATAGCCACTTAAAGTAGAAATTAATTTATATCTTTTACCTTATATCAGAAACCTAGTTACAACTCAGCAAATAATATCTATCCAAATATCAAAGATATTGAATCAGATCAGTCTTTAATTTCGACCGCGAGTGTGGGAGAGCCATACTGCAGCACGAATGGGCGGGCTCTGCCAGAGTGATACCACGGCCTCACAGAAAACAACACTCGCGTTTTGTTTCGTCGTGTGAGTGAGGTTACCAGAGGCCCAATCACATCCCTCCCCAATGTCCCTTATCCCCGAAACCCCAATAGTTATTGCTTAAATTCCTACTCCCCAAAAGGCCGGCAACGCACTTGTAACACCTCTGTTGTTTCGGGTGTCCATGGTCGGCGCCGATTGCTTACCATCAGGTGATCCATCTATTCGTTTACCAGCTTTATTCCATAAAAAAGCAATCTTCATTGTAGAGAAATGTAGAGGAGTGGAAGGTAACTGATTTAAGTAGATAATTAGTTACCTACTTAATTAACTCGTCGAGTACCGGTTTTGTAGACACAATTATAGAACAATAGGTTGCGGTCACCGGTGACCGCTTGGTGTTTGACAGTTTAATCGAGCACGCCATCTTAAATTTTGAGAGAAACTTCATTATCCACAAAGTTTGCTCACACAAGTATCATACCTACCTAGAATGTAATAGAAATCTTTATTCAAGCTCACAAAGCACCTATTTTATACTATACTAGCTACTTCCACGCGGTTTCACAAGCTCTGCTCAGCTCCTATTGATCGTAGCGTGATGTTTTATAGCCTATAGCCATCTTCGATAAATGCGCTATCCAAAACAAAAATAATTATTCAAATCACACTTGTAGTTACGGAGATTAGCGCGTTCAAACAAACAAACTAACTCTTCCGCTTTATATAATAGTATAAGAAGTATAAGACTAGCTTTACCAGCAGCTTCGTCCACGATCCCTTGGGATAAAAAGGTGCCTAAGTGTCATTCCAAACCGTAATATATCCATGTTTCAAATTTCATCCCGATCGCTTCAGCAGTTTTGACGTGATTAAGTAAATAAATAACGATTGATGCCATAAAAAGTACTGTACACATAGATTTGTGGAATAGAAAGATAATGCTACAATTTCTGTATAACTTAGAATACATACGTCTATTTATTCAATGATTTAAAAATTTTATGACTGTAATAATTCCTTACGTCATTTTACTAATGCCGTTACGAGATAAAATGCATTGTTTTATTGCGCACTGTGTTTAAAAATACATTTGAAGTAAAATCAGCAATAACTAAGTAAGAAAAATATTCGTTAACTATTTATTAAACGATTGCACAGTTCCGCAAAGCTAATGCAATTGCCAAATAAAACGTTACATTTTATTAGTTTCAAAAATGCATCCAATATAAAAAGACAATAGCTGTTTAGCACTTACCTAACGTTCTTTGAGGAGTGGCTTGAGAGACGCTACGGCGTCCTACCGCCTGACGCAGGTCCACACCGGACATGGAAGTTTCTGGAGGTACCTGTGTCTGATGGGGCGGGAGGAAACGCCCGGGTGTCTTTACTGCGAGGACCGCCCTGAGGACACGGTGGAACACAGTGTAGCGGAATGCCCTGCGTGGGCTGAGCACCGCCGTGCCCTCAGGGAAGTGATTGGCGATGGCGACCTCTCGCGTCCGGGCCTAGTGCAGGTCATGATGCGGAGCGAGGGGGACTGGGATGCCGTCTCCTCTTTTTGCGAAGCAGTTATGCTAGCTAAGGAGGAGGAGGCGGGACGCGTGAGGCAGCGAAGCGCTGCCTCCTCGCAACCCAGCCATCGCGAAGGACACACCGGGCGTCGGGGATCGCGTGACGATCTTCGGCCACCGTAAGCGCGGGCCTGCGGACGGCGAGTATGGGTGGCTCACCGTCCGACCAGAAACAGACCCGAGCGTACAAGCAAGCGACTGGTACTCAATACTAGTTATATGGCTAAAATACGTAGAGGAACAAAAATCCTGTTTTTTCTATATTTTCGATTACTGACTCATGTTTGCTGTGCATTCTCATTAAGTATTCTGTGGTTTTAGCTTGCTTCGTGTGAATTGTAATTAACATCTAAATAGCTTTTTGTAAGTTACGCCGAAAATATGTAATTACCTACATAGGTGTGTCTTCCGGCTACATCAAGTAGCTACCAGTTTTCAACTACAATAACTACGCAGTTTTATTTACCTAGGTTTGCAACTAAAAGAATGTAACGAACGATCGATGTACCAACCTCTAACTGTTATCAGTCCAGTCTAGGTAACAGTTGTTATTGTTTTACATATCACTTGCTATCAGATTGCAGTTTAATAGCCACTAAAACAAAGCAACGTTGTCTAACAGATATACTACAAATAATAGTTATCACAGAAATTGATAAATTTATTAGGCAGATGAGAAAATTGATTACTCATTCCATAAAAAAATCAGATAGATCCCCCATTCGGCTCTTTAAACACCCGAAGGAAGAGAATCATACGCATCTTATCATGGCCCTCTACAACGCCCCTGTGTGGGCGCCGAACATGCTGCGGCTTCCCGCTTGGACGCTGCTCATGTCACAGAGGGTCATGGCGATCCGAATGATCCGCGGATACCGCACGATCTCCGGGAAGGCGGCGAACCTCCTTGCCGGATTACCGCCGTGGGATCTGGAGGCGAAGGTGCTCGCGCGCGTGTATCGCATGCGCGCGGAGGCAGAAACGGGGTGGTTTTTAGTAAGTAAGAGTCTTAGAGGCGGGAGAAGTCATTCGATAATTTTCCCCCCTTAAAAAAACACGCATCTTATATAGTTAGTTAGGTAGAAAATGGTGACTCTTAACTACTCAATCGCGTGGATATTTCTTCCGATCCATGTGCCTAAAATGTTTGTAAACCGTCAATCGTTTGTCAAATACCATTTTCGCATTTTCGTGTGTTTAAAAAACATACACTCGCGCTGTCAAACAAGTTTGACAAACTTGACGTCAGTTTTAGTCCGTCATTCATTCAGTTTGACAATGAATTATTGAATAGAAAAATTGTAGGTAATAAATGCCTGTCAGTTCAGAATTCTAGATTCATTACCTCCTCCAGTAGTTTTCAATAATGTAGACAATATAACTAGTGTATAAATTAGTAACTACCTAGTTATAGATGATTACAAAAACATGATCATAAAGTTTAGCGTCATTTAAATCCATAAACCAAATGTCAATGTTCATTTTGACAGTTGACCGTAGAGGTTATGCAGTTAACTAACTA